GGACTGATCCAATCAGCTCTCTGATCAACCAGTCGCCTGGAACGCTGGTTGATCAGAGCGTCGCTTTGGACAGAAACCTCCTCCCCACAACCCGATCTCTCTTGCTGTCTGAGCAATCGCAGTAGTTCTAATCCGGGAGACTTAGGATGTCTGTTTTAGTTTTAGGTATAAATAATGATCCATTGATCATTCCTGGCTGACCGGACTTTTAATACCAAAAAGAACAGATGTTGATTTTTATGTTTTAAACAGAAAAAAACAAATGCAGTCAGGTGGTTTTAAAACTTTATTCAGTGTTTGGAGCAAACAGGAAGCCTTTGTTGGCTGTAGATTCCAGTGCAAGTATGAATATAATGAGTAGATATAATAAGTTTTTCGTTTAGATAAGATCATGAGAACATTATTTTGTTCAGTAGCTGCTAAAGTGGCAGCAGATTAAATGCAGTTTATTTCAATCAGGGAAGATAATGATCAGCCTTAAGGACGCCATGTTTCTGTGGATACGTATCCTGGTGAGAAGATGGAGAAATGAGCTAAACTACCTATGAAGAACCTGATAAGCTTTTATGAAATCAAAGACAACAGAAGATGTTCCTCTATTTGCCCTGAGGAGCAGGAAGAACCCAAACCTCCCAGAAACTTTCCTGTTCAGGAGAGAACTGATGTTTTATTTCGTTATAGATCTTTGATTTCCCAGAAACATCGATCTTCTTCAGCCCAAATTTAAACCAGAGGTTGGTGATAATGCACGGAAACATCCCCCCACCTTCTTCAAATCAAATAAAGACTTTGCAGAATGTTGACAAAAATGTACTTTTAGAAGTATTATTACTGCACCGTACTTTAACTTTACTTGACTAACGGAACTTAAGCAAAAATTCAAACTCTATCAACCTAACTAGGAACCAACTTCAGCTTTTTACTACAGTAGAAGTGTAAAAGTTTTTTAAAATCACTTATGATCATAGTGCTGATGACTGTTCTACTCATTTCATTCACCTGCCTAGCTCCGCCCAGTTTCTCGTTATCGTTCATCTGATCCACCTGATTCATCTGATCCACCTCTCCAGGAAGCTTTCTCAAAGCTTCCTGGAGAGGTGGCGAAACGTCTTCAAATCTTGGAAACCAAGTCCAGTGGATATTTTTTGAATTTTTATGGAAAACCCACCAGATTTTAAGTTGACTGACCAAGACACATCCGTTTTCACCATGATGGTGAGCCGTTTAAACACGACACAAACAGCAAAGCAGACAGTGGTACTTTTAATTACTATGTTAATAAATGTGTATAATTCATTAGACGGTGGGTAAAATATACACTCCTATAATATCTTTCAAACTGCAATAAAGATCTTAAAAGAAC